GAGGCAGTAGCAGAACAGACCCTGCCTCCTTAGCCTCTTCTCCAGCAAGGTGGGGGCAGTCCTCTCAAGCCCACCCTAGCAGAGCCCTAGGGGCTTTGTCTTTCTGATTTTTTTCTCCCAAAGGAAAACTGCAAATGGAACAAATCCCCCATGGGTTCCTGGGTCATAGCCAGACTGCCCCAGGGGTGGGTATCTCATCATCCCCCTCCACCTTCAGGGTTTGCTTCTTCTCTGCCCCCTCAGTTCCCCGCATCCTCCCTCTTATCAAACCTGGCTCCTTGGTGGCACCACCTCACCAACTTCCCTGGGTGGTCTGGTTGCCTCACAGGGTGAAGCTCTGAGAACATTTTCCTAATGTGCAGCCAGAAACTTCTACTTCCCATGCCCAGGGCTGCCCCTCTCTTTTCTTTTCTCCCCTCCCTCCCCTCCTGCCAGCCACACCCCCATTCATCACCCCCACCATGCCTGTGTGGATGAGAGGCCCCTAGTCCCTCTGGGAGCCCCCAGGGCTGCTGGAAAGAAGGCTTTAAGATGGAGTCACAACACAGCCTCTCTTTCCCATTGCTGTTCAGTTGAGAGCAGCAGGCAGTCCTGCATCATTTGAAAGTTCAGTGGAAAATGAAAATATGGGGCCCCTTGTTCAAAAAGCATTAAGAACTTCAAGATGGCAAGAACAGAGAACTAAACCATATACAATACCCTTTACAGTGAGACCCCTGAATCACTGCACCGGTCAAATGTTCATGAAGCTGGTCATGAAGGACCGTGTGTGTGTGTGTGTGTGTGTGTGTGTGTGTGTGTGTACTTGTAGGGTCATAGGGTGACAGTGTAGTGCAGAGTTTATGTATCAGGCTTTCAAGTTACCCAGGGCTGTCAAGTGGATTCTGACTCGTAATGATCCTATAGGACAGAGCAGAACTGACCCTTTGGTCTGAATGTGTGTGTTGTGCTCTCTGAGTTGAACAAGCCCATCAGATCTTGTGTTCAGTTTTTTGCACGCCTGCCCACTCCAGGCACAGCTCCTCCCCGTCCCCCACCCCCACCCCCCCCCCCGCCCCTCAGCCCGCAGGAGGGCACAGAGCCTCTTCTCAAGGACCCCAGTTGTTTCCAGAGGCCTATGGCATCAGCCTGGAGGAGCTTGCCTTTGAAATCTCCACCTCACCGCCCTCTTGCAGCTCTTCACATTCCTCTTCCTTCCCCTTTCTTTGGCACCAGCCTCACCTCTTTCCCTTTTGTGTGAGGGCCAGGCTTGAATGGGGCTCCCCCACCCCCGAGCATTTGAAATCCACCCTCCAAGGCCCTCTCTAACTGTGCACTGCACGGCTGCCTGGCTGTGTGTTGTCTCAGGGCAGGATGTGGGGGCGGGCAGGTGGGGCAGGGAGGGGGGGTGCAGGCCCTTTGGTCCCCAGGGGAGAACAATGAGGACGCTAGTCAGGGTGGTGGGGTGGAGGGGGCCATGGAGCTACATCAGAGTCTCTGAGGTGCGGCCCCTGGAGGGACAGCTGAGTGATGAGGCCTGAGTCACATGCCCCGTGTGCTCCTTGAACTCCCGCGCCTGTTCCTGTGGAGACACGTTCTGAAATGTGCAGGGTAAATATTTAGAGGTAATCGTTTTTTGAGGCACCTCATGCCTCCCTGCCTTGCTGAAGATGAGCCAGGCCTGGGAGCCTAAGCTGGTGGAGCCCCATCAAATCCAGGTTCTGCTGTGGTCTTTCTGCAGCCTGGACTTCCTCAGGCAGCACCTTTGTTCCTCCAACCTCTGTCCAGTGTGCCCGCCTGGATCTTCACATCCCAGCCACAATTCAAAGCTAGCAGCAACAGCAGCAACTAAATCCAGTTGCCATCCAATCGATTCTGATTCTTGGTGACCCTGTACATTCCAGAGGGTTTTCGAGGAGATGGCTTTTTGGAAACAGATCACTAGGCCTTTACACCTCTGAGTGGGTGGGTTCAAACCACTTATCTTTTGGTTAGGTTTGCACCACCCGGGGAATCCAAACCCCAGACTAAACCCAAACCAAGCCGAACCAATTGCTGTCAAGTGGATTCCACCTCCTAGAGACCTTATGTGTTGAGCAGACTGTCTCATCTTTGTTTTGAGGAGCAGCTTACCTTTCTCTTAAAAACCCAATGCCCACAGCTTCGCCAAACATCTAGTTGATTCGAATGCTTAGTGATCCTATATAGGGTTTCTGAGACTGTAACTCTTTACAGGAGCAGAAAGGCTCATCTTTCTCCCACAGCGTGACTGGTGGGTTTTGAACCACTGACCTTTCGGTGAGCAATCCAGTGTTTATCTTACAAGAATGTTGTTGTTGCTAAGTGCCATCGAGTCAGTTCCAACTCATAGTGACCCTGTAAAAGGTTTCCAAGGAATGATATGGTGGGTTTGAACCAATCATGGTTAGCAATTCAGTGCTTATCCTACAGCATCGTACCAGGACTCAAGATTTGGGAAGCTTAAAGACATCCTGAGAGCCAAATCATGGCTTAAAACCCATGGTGCACTCTCTTGGTTCTGCTCCTCTCCCGCCTTAGCCTGTGACAGGATACCTCCCCAACTGTGCCTTAGCCTGTTCCAAGACCAGGCTTCTAGGTGGCTCTTGTGTTTTCACATGGGGGAGAACTGCCAACAAGAAGCAGCGCTGACCTCCACATGCCAGTTCCTTGGCTCTACCCTGCACAGAATGTCTTCCTTCCTTAGAGGACATGGAGTCCGGAGTCCGTGCCTTATCAAAGATAAAACATTTGAGACTAAACAGTCTTTTTATAGATTGGAACTGGGCTCCGAAGCACATGTTTCCCCCTCCATCAGCACTCAGCCTGAGCCTGCCTTTCAGAGCACACACAAAAAGGGCAGACAATTCTTCTCTAGGGAAGATGGAGACACTGAAGTTTGAGGGTGAAAGTGCATTCCTAGGGAAGGGGAAAAGCTGCAGGCAGGCCTGGGGCGGTGCCCAGCGATGTGGTGGTCTGGGCTGGGCTCACATCTGCACCCCTCAGGGAGGGTGCCTGCTGAGGAGAGACGCAGCTGTTAGGAGTTGGAATTAGGATGGAACCCAAATGTGTCAGGCACACACAGGCCGACTCAGACATCGGCTACTCAGCAGGCACAAACTGAGCCCCCAATACTAACACAGGCAGGATCTAGAAACTAAGACACAAACTCCTCCTAGCTTAAACCCAGCTCTCTGGGGCTGGGACACTTGCCCACATGACACTAGGGAAAGCTGAGTGGAAAAAAAGCAATTATTTATTTTGTATGTGCTGTGCTGTTCCTCGGAAACCCTATACAGGGTGCTGTGATTTGGAACCAACTCTACAGCACTGACCAACATATGTTAGTCCTGCTGTAAATTCTGCTCTTGTTGCTGTGGTTTTGCACCATTGAGTTAATTCCAATTCATAGAGCCCCTACAGCGACCTGGATCCTCTGAGCATAGTGTTATGAGCCCCATGTTTTTTGGAGGAGAATATGAGGAAATCTTATATAGAACGTGAAGTCTAGTAAATAATGGCGAAGAGTTTTGCCCTCAGGGCATTTGACTCCAAAGCTCAGCCTCTTTCCTCTTTTATTTTCTTGAATGTAAAAGGGAGATCACAAATGGCCTACTTTCAGTAGTTGTGAGAAGTAAGTGGAATTATTTGGGCAGAATTTAGCCAGTGCCTAGCACAGAAGAAAAGAGTTCTGGTAGCGTAGTGGTTACGAATCGGGTTGCGAACTGCACGGTCAGCAGTTCAAAACTACCAGCTGTTCTGTGGGAGAAAGATGAGGCTTTCTGCTCCCATAAAGATCTACGGCCTCAGAAACCCTGTACAGGGTCGCTGTGAGTTGGAACCGACTCCACGGCACATAGCCAGCCAGCACAGAAGAGATCTCCAGTAAATGTCAGCTGTATTTATTGTGATTCTTCTTTGTGCCAGGCATCTTAGAGGATAGTAATGCCAGAGTCACCCAGATCTCATAGATAACAGGAAAGGTAGGGTGCTCTAGGATGGGAATCCATCGGGATTTCAGAATCACCACGTGCCACCATTCAGGAATCTAAGGCAAAAATCTTCTGTGATTGTGCTCAGAGGTCACAGCCTCCATTTGAAAAGAGTTGTTGCTGTTGACTTGGGTCCACCTCCTGACAACCGCACACACAACAGACCAAAATGTCTCCCAGTCCTGTGCCATCTTCCTCATTGTTGTTGATATGCTGGAGTCCACGGTTGTGGCCACTGTGTAGAACAATATTGTTGTCATCTATAGGGTTTTCATTGACTAATTCTTTGGCAGTGGATCACCAGGCCCTTCTTGCTATCTGTTTCAGTCTGGAAGTTCTGCTGAGTCCTGTCCACCATGGGTGAACTTGCTAATATTTGAATACTGGTGGCATAGCTCCCAGCACCATGACATGGCAAGCCACCAGAGTACAACAAACTGACAGGCGGGTGGTGGTTGAGAAAGGTAGAAGGAAACTGAGAGAGGGAATCTGGCACAGCGCCCTCAGAGGGCAGCAAAATCCCACTGGCTCTGTGATTGAATACAAGGATGGTGCCACATGGCTACCCAGGGACAATCACACCAATACACAGTATGGTAGGATCCTGATCCAGCTTGGGAATAGCAGTTGTCTTTGGGCCTAAGGTTCCCATTTGTAATAAGAGAGAGTATTCTTTGTATTAGATGATTCCTCCCTTCCTGTTGTCAAAGTTTTATTCAGTTCTATAGTAGACGTAGTTCCCTTCATAGGCCTAATCACAGCCATTCCCAGGGGAGTCCAGAAAAAGATGAAAAGCAGAAGGGGATATGGGGCAATTGGATGTAGAGAACTTGTAATTGACCGCTGGAAGATTCAGTCCCAGCCTGCTTCTCAGAGACAGCAGCCTGTGTTGCCAGACTGGCTATATAGAGAGTTAGGATGGCATGGGGTGAGGGATCATGGGGATTCAGAGCTGGACAGTGCAGGGCAGTAGGCAGCTCACAGACCCCTTCCTGTTTTCTCTCCATGCAGAGACCTGAGTATGAACAACCTTACGGAGCTGCAGCCAGGCCTCTTCCACCACCTGGGATTCCTGGAGGAACTGTGAGTAGACGCTTTGTGGACTGGGGTTGCCAAGGCTGAGCAGGGCTGGGGGCAAGGTTTTGGCTGTCTCTAGGTGCTGTAGGATCAGCACTGGACTGCAAACCACAAGATCTGCAGTTCAAACCCACCAGCTGTTCCTTGGAAACCCTATACAGGGTTGCTATGAGTCGGAACCAACTCGACCACACTTAACAACAATAGCAACAAAACGCTGTAGGATAAGCACTGGACTCCTAACCACAAGGTTGATGACTCAAACTCACTACCTGCTCCACGGAAACCCTAAATACCATCGCTGTAAGTAGGAATTGACTCAACGGCACTTAACAACAATAATAATAGCTGTAGTTAAAGAGCTCTGGTGGCATAGTGGGTTATGTGTTGCACTGCTAACTGAAAGGTCTGCAGTTCAAATCCACCAGCCACTCCTCAGGAGAAAGCTGAGACTTTATTCTCTCATAAAGGTTTAAAGCCTCAGAAGCCCTATACAGGGTCGCTATGAATCGGAACCGACTCGACAACCCACAGCCACCATCACCGATAGCTGTTTCCAAGGAGCTTCTTCCTGGTGTGTATGAATCACCAACCTTGAAGTTAGAAGTCCAGTGCATATGTGGACTCCAGTAGCTGTGGGAACCAGGAGTCCCTGGGTGGTGTAAATTTTTAACGTGGTAGGCTGCTACCTCAAAGGTTGGAAGTTTGAATTTACCCAGAGCTATCTTGCAAGAAAGGCCTAGTGAGGAAGAAAGGCCTGGCAATCTACTTCATAAAAGGAAGCCATTGAAAACCCTACGGAGCACAGTTCTACTCTGGCACACATGGTGTCACCATGCATTAACTACAGGACTAATGGGAAGCTAAGGCTGTTCTTGATATCAGCCAATACCAGCCCTGTTGTGGAACTTAGAGTGGCAGTGTGGTGGTATAGTAACTCTAAAACATAACTTTCATCCTTCCCTGAAGCCAACTCTGTCTACAGTCACAACTTCCCATGGGAATCATCTTTTACCTCCTCTCATCTCCCGAATGTAACCACTCTCTAAGCCTGCTGTTTCTTACTCTGAAATGTCTCCTACCTCCATCCCCTTTATTCTGTTCCCACTGCTACCACGCCAGACAGCCCCTCACATCTAGGGGCTGCATCAGCCTCCCTGCTCCTTTCTAATGGAGCTTGTCCTCTTTCTCACCATCCCACCAGCTCAAGAAACTTCTGTGTCTCCTTATGGCTGAAAGAATAGATTCCTAAGACGCTCTCTCACCTGGCCCAATCCTACCTGGTCAACTGTGCTTCAGCAGGGCCAGTCCTGTTCATCATCCCTAATAGCTCCTTCTGCGTTTGCTCTGGTACCCCTGCATCAGTTCCAAGGACTCCTCTGCAATGCCTTCGCAGTATTGTCCCTCTCTGCTGACCTTCTCCAGTGGTACTCATGTATAAATCATCTCCACAGTTACAGTTCCCAGTCTGTCTACTTGGAAAAGCCAGGTCACTATGCTCCTGGTCATTGCTTTCATCCCACTCCTAACCCTAACACTTCCTAGTCCTGATGTGGTGCTGCAGGTTAATGCACTGGACTGCAAAGTCAGTTTGAGCTGCAAGATTGACAGTTCAAGCTCACCAGTCGCTCCTCAGAAGCCCTATACAGCATCACTATGTGTCAGAACTGACTCAATGGCACTTAACAACAACATAGATCCTAGAAGGAGCCCGGGAAGCACTGTGGGTTAGGCCTCAGGCTGCTAACTGCAAGGCTGGTGGTTCAATCCCACCAGCTACTCCACAAGAGAAAGATAAGATTGTCTGTTCCCATAAAGATTTACAGTCTCAGAAACCCTATATGGGGTCATTATGAGTCAGAATAGACTTGATGGCAGTAGGTTCTGGTTTTGGTTTTGATAGATCCTTTGGGCTCTACTAAGATTTTCTAAAACTGCACAAACGGTGGCTTCCTGGCCCTGAAAGCATTCACTGTTTCACCTCTATTCCGACTGCACTGCTCCTGTATCAAATCTTGATCCTAGACAATGCTCTTCACAGATGCACTCTACCTCCCTCTGCTGCAGTTTTGAGCCCATCAACCCCTTAGGGTCATGGCTGGATTTTAGCCCTTTTTTGGGTAAACAGTGGAGTTCCTGAGTAGTGCAAAACAAATAGCATGCTCAGCTGCTGCTGAACTGTTGGGAGTTTTAATCTACCAGAGGTACCTTGGAAGAAAAGCCTGGTGCTCTAATTCCAAAGTACCAGCCGTTGAAAAGACTATGGATCCCAGTTCAACTCAGACACATGTAGGGTTTCATATATTGGAGTCCACGCAATGGTTTTTAGGTGTTCTGGGGCAAAACTGCCGAGGAAGCTGCCTTCCAGAAGCTTCTAGGCTGAGATCAAAGAACTGTGGCCAGCAGGTGAATGAGGCTGCTGTCGGTGTAACCAGGGCATTCTGTGTGAGGAAGTAGTCAGGTGAGTAGAGCTGGGAATCCTTGTTGGAGGAGTATTTAGACAGTTTTCAAAAGAGATGGACAAAGTGAGAGGCATAGAGGGGCCTTCTAATGTGAGCGAGACTAGCCTGGGTGACAATGAAATGTAGGAGCAAAGTCTGAGGAGCTTGGGGCAGGTGACATGTCAGGTACACCTAAGAATTTAAGACTGCTCTTCCATCTTCCAAGGACCTGGTTTATGCATTCATCTATTAACCAAAAAGTTGGTTTTTCAAAACCACCCAGCAGCATTGTGGAAAACAGGTCTTATGATCTGCTTCCACAAAGATTACATAAAAAAAAAAAAATTCAACCGAGGAATATAACTCGAATTGTAGCCAGCTGATCAGTAGTACTATTTCTGGCAAATTCTATCTAGTATGATAATCTGCTATCATCTGCTGGTTTAAGACTTTCCTGGCTAAGACCGCTAGTTCTTAAAAAAAACATATAAAATGTACAGAAGAGATCACAATCCAGAAGCCACTTTGGGACTCGACTCTACTCCGTAATACTAGGTTGTGATGAAATGGAATCAACTTGATGGTATGTGTCTGGTTGTTGTTTTTTTTTTTCTTTCATCTTCCATTCTTTCAGATGGGGTTGTTGTTGTTGTTGTCAGGTGCCATCAAGTCGGTACTGACCCATAGTGACCTTATGCACAGCAAAACGCAACACTGCCCGATCCAGGGCCAACCTCACTACTGTTGCCACGCTTGAGTCCATCAATGCTGCTACTTGGCCAATCCATCTCGTTGGGGTTCTTCCTCTTTTTCTCTGACCCTCCACCTTACCAAACATGATATCCTTCTCCAGTGACTGGTCCCTCCTGACAATATGTCACATCCTAAAAACTCATCTAAAGGACCCTTCCTGGGCAAGTGCCCACTTAACAGAACTCATGCTCAGAGATCTCAAATAGCCAGGTGCCTTTCCACACGCTATCTTTTACGAAACAAAACAACGAATGGCAAATCAACAGATTCTTATTACAGATACCTATTTTAAAATAGCTTCTGGGATAAGTCAGCACAATCTCTGTGCTGCAGGCCTCTCTGTAGGAACTGATGCACATAATAATGTCCTTGGGAACCTGCGAGAGCCAGAGTGCCTTCTGAATCATCCACAATTAAACTCTGCACAGACAGGTTTTAGTATTAAGCATATGCATTAAGTATATTTCATTGCACCTGCTCCCTTTAAAATTGGGGATCACCTTATGACAGACATGGAAATGCTTAATTAGACCAGAATGTTAAACTAATTAGAGCACCCCATTTCCTAACCCTCCTGGATTAATGGGGGTTAGCTATGCAGTTTAGTACATGGGAAGATACAAACATATCTCCATCTGCACCTGATTCTTCCTCTGGTGGTAACACAATGCAACCTGAGTACAACCCAGCTAGTCAGGGTTGTGGATAATCCACATTAGCACGGGAGATGATGGAGCATTGTGGAGAAGATGTGGGCCTTGGAATTAGTCAGATCTGGGTGAGAACAGTAAACTCTTCCATGGGCTGCTACTAGGACATTTGGGGGAAGTCACTTTATCTCTCCAACCCTCAGTTTCCTTATCTGTAATTTGGGGATAATAATAGGGTTATTGTTGGAGCCTCTGGGTGACATAAACAGTAAACCTGTTTAGTTGCTGATTGAAAAGTTGGAGGATTGAGCCCACCCAAAAGGTATGTTGAAACAAAGGCCTGGAGATCTATTTCAGAAAACTGAGCCATTGAAAACCCTATGCAGTACAGTTCTACTCTGATACACTTGAGGTCATCAGGAGTAGAGCTGACTCAAGGACAGCTGGTACTGGTGTATGAGCCGAGGTGTGTGAAGCACTAACACACCGTATACCTCAATAGATGGTCGTTGTTACCACCATTTTTTCCTATTATACCCTAGGATACTGACTAATGGAGGTCACCCTTCCTTGGGCTCCCTGCCAACACCACTGACCCTTTTCTCTGATTTACAGGCGCCTTTCTGGGAATCATCTCTCACACATCCCGGGACAAGCATTCTCTGGTCTCTATAGCCTGAAAATTCTGTAAGTATAGGTATACCCCCCTTTCACATAGAAATGTGACATTGAAAATTGTGGGCAAATCAAAGTTTTATAACCTGTGTCTTGATTTGTCACCAACTTGCTTATCATTTCTTTATCTTCATTTTTAATTTCAATTCTTATTTCCTTATCTTTATCTTTGCTTTCACTTTTTCTATAACCAACTTCAGGATCTGTCAACAAACATTTAATTGCCCCTAATATTTATACAGGAGTCCTGGTGTGGCCCTGTGGGTTAATGCGCTGGACTGCAAAGTCCATTCGAACTGCAAGGTTGGCAGTTCAAGCTCACCAGCCACTCCTCAGAAACCCTATACAGGGTTCCTAAGAGTCGGAACTGACTTGAAGCACTTAACAACAGCAACAATGTTTATACAGGGTCACTCTGAGTTGGGACCTACTTGACAACACATAACAACACTATTTATGGCCACCCCTATAAGGTAGTGAAGGAGCCCTGGTAACTTAGTGGGTTACGAGCTGGGCTGCTAACCTTAAGGTCAGTAGCTCGAATCTACCAAATCTTGTAAAGATTTACAGCCTCAGAAATACTATACAGGGTTGCTATGAGTTGGAACCGACTTGACGGCACTCCATCACTGCCATAGGGTAGTGAAACATCTTTTTAAATGTAATGTGAATAATGACCATCAGCATAGCACTCTGTGGGGCTGAGTTCCGTTGTAAACCCAAGTGCTCTCTCTGATTGTTGCTAGAGAGGAGAAATCCAGATTGGTTTTCTTCTGCCATCTTCTTTAGGCCCAACCGTAGTCTCTCTGGCTACAGCACTGAGTTTTCATTCTTATTGCCAACATCTCTTCTTTCTGAATTCAGGCTTCTTCTTTTCAGTTCTTTTCACCTTTCCTTGGAAGCAAAAAAAAAAAAAATGAGAATGGAAGAGGCCCTTATATTGTTCCATCTAGCTTCCTTCTGCTATTGATCTGATGACCTATTTTACAGAAGGGAAAGTTGAGGCAGCATCTCCTTCCATCCTAACCCATGACTCACCTTTACCCACCCAAGACTGTTTTCCCACAAGCCCTTCTGTGTTCTTCTGAGGAATGAATGTGAAAGGAGGTGGGGAGGATCTGCACAGGGACTGAGCTGGGTAGAAAAGGTTCCTGGGGAGGGTATTTTGACATAGGAACTAGTTTAGGAAGAAAACGAGGATCCTAGGTACTGACCCTCGAGCAATAGAATGAACATTTTGGACCTCCCTGACGTGGTGAGCCAGTCCCCAGCTCTGCTTCGCTCTCAGTTCATACTTGCCTTATAGGTCTTCTTTGTACAGTTGAGGAGGTTGTTTACTGCACAAGAGTATCAGACTATGGGAGCAAAAAGGGATGAAATCCAGTCCTGTGCCCTGGTTGGGGGCTGCATCCATCCAAGGATTATCTTTTTCTAATTTGTTCAGAGGTGCTGATGAGCGAGCGGTGGCTCTTCTGGCTGCTAGCTGGTACACAGCCCAAGGTCCACATCTGAGTAGTCTCTCTCTCTGCCATGTTGTTGGTCCCTTGCCTCTGTTACTGCCTCTCTTTCTGGCACTCTTGACTCTCAGCATCTCTTCCAAAGTGTCTCTGAGTCTCAGGGCTCTCTGGTTCCTCTTCCTTTCCTCATTCTGTGCTCTATCCTCAGCTCTCTCCTTTCTCTTATTCTTCTCTGTCAAAGACCTTGTCCTCACTCTGTTCCCTGCCTTTCCCATCTCCCTCTGCCTCCTCTGTCTGTCTAACTCCCGAGGGGGCAGGGAAGCCGTGTGCACCAGACGTGCAGTGCAGGCGGCCTGCTTGGTGGCATGTCTATGCCCAGTGACAGGCTCAGACCTGCATCCTGGATTAGAGAGCAGGGCTCTGTTTGCTGGGCCTTCAGAAGATGTTAGACTCACGTCCCGTTCCTAAAACTCCGGCTTAGAGATGAGCCTTCTCTTTCTTCTTTGCCTACATTAGGCAATAAATCAAAGCCTTCTCAAAACCACAGGGCTCCCGCCTCCTTTTTACAAACTGGCGCCCTGGGCTCAGGGAGTTGGGTGGCTGTAGAGGCTGTGGGTGGGAGTCACACTGTCCCCTCCCTCTCCACCATTGACCCCACTTTGTCTCATTCGCAAAGATTATCCAGCCCCACCCCCTGAAACCTCTGTGTCTGCTCTTTGCCACCACAGCTTCTCCACTTTAGGGGAGTGAGTTGGGTTGGTCCAAGGAACGATCTTCTCACTCAAGTTCCTCCTACATCCTGGGCAGGTAGTACTTTCTGATGTCGAATCTCAGGCACCTTTGTTGCAGTCCTTCCACCTCTGCAGACCAGCCAGGACCTCTGTTCTACCTCTGTCTGGTTGGCCTAGCACCCTATCCCTCCCTTATCCAATCTACAAAGATTCCTTCTGGACCTCAGTTGTCTTTTGTCAGACCCAGATCTGGGAAACAGGGCTCACAGCTTACGGACTTGCCTCTCCTCCAGGCCCCCAAGAGGCTGGGTGGGAGATTCCCAGATGTACAGAACCCCTGGGTATCTGTGATTTAGGGACACATGCCATCCTGGGAAAGACTCAGACTCTAGAAGGGCACTTGGCTGCTTTGAGCCCATGTGGAGCCCCAGCTTGAAGTCACCCAGGAGCAGGAGGGCATTCGATTCTCTCAGCCCCATTCCTTGGGAAATCTCCCTGCGTTGACCTCTAGCATGGTCCTCTTCAAGCCACCTTATATTGAGTTGTCTTGGTTTGACACTGTCTTGTGCAGAAGGAAATCTCAGGACCTCGCCTGATCTCAGAAAAGATGTTGATAGAGAACACTTAGGCTTCTTCTCTGGGCCTCATTTTTCTCACATGTAAAGCAGGGATGTTGTTGTTCTTAAGTGCTGTTGAGTTAATTCTGACCCATAACGTCCTTGTATAGAGTTTCTAAGGAGCAGTTGGTGGGTTTGAACCACCAACCTTGTGGTTAGCAGTCTGGTACTTAGCCTATAGCCCTATACTAGGACTCCATAAAATGGGGTGTTGCAATTAAATTTTCAATAATTTTTAGCTGCAGAAACTTAAAAGCAAAAGCCCTTTGTGCACGAGTAGTTAGGAGGGTGAACTCCAGTCTCTGTCTCTCCCACTCACCCCAGTGACCCAGGGGGCCCATCTTAGAACCCTGGGACCCAAGAAAGGGCCTTCAGAAACCAGTGGTGGATTTTTGGTACCTTCTGGCCATGGCATCCCTGGTTTCTGTCCCCAGATGCCTCTCACACAAGAGAGATGTTCCCAGGGCATGCTTCACGGAAGAGGAGGGGAGACAAGAAAGTAAGGAGTCCTGGTGTGGCACTATAGGATAAGCACTGGCCACAAGGTTGTTTTGAACTGCAAGGTCAGTGTTTCAAATCCACCAGACGCTTCTCAGAAACCTTATACAAGGTCGTTATGAGTCAGAACCAACTCTATGGCACTTAACAACAACAGCATTTTTCCCTTGTGTGTGTTGCTATGATGTTGACGAGGTTTCAGCAGAGCTTCCAGACTAGGAAGAAAGACCTGGTGAACTACTTCTGAAAAATCAGCCAATGAAAACCCTTGGGTCACAGTAATCTAATCCTATTGTACATGGGGTTGCCGTGAGTTGGTGGCCAACCCAATGGCAGCTAACAGCAACAGCAATATTCCTCCCCCAGGGATTTCACTGGGCTAATGTATGGCCTGGGCATTGGGTTTTCTAAATCTTCCCAGGTGAATCTACTGTATAGCCAGGGTTGAGAACCAGTGGTTCACCAGGCAGAATCAGTGCCAGGGAGAGAAGTAGGCAAATGCGGTCACAAAAGGTGCTGGAAGCTAGTCTTGTGCTTTGTATTTGTATTTTAAGGCAAGTCACTCCCCCTATCTGAACCTGTCTCCTCATCTGGAAAACAAAGAGGCTGATCCCTTCTAAAGATCCTTCCAGCTTTGATGACCCAGTTGTGCTACATTAAAGGGCTGGGAAATGAGGCCAGGAAGAGTAAGGGAAACTGGGCCATTTGGTTTCCTGTGTGGTCCAAAGTCAGCTGCCATGCTGACTTCAGCCTGGTGGGTTTTGATTCCATGCAAGAAAGTACTCTCTGATGATTAGGCTATGGAGCATGGAATGAGATCCTGACACTGAAAGGACGGTTAAGCGCTCTCTGAAGATGCATCTGTGTTGCTAGGGGAGAAAAAAAAGCCGGTTGCCGTCTAGTTGACTCCAACTCATGGTAACCACATGTGTATCAGAGTAGACCTGGATTCCATCGGGGTTTTCATCACTGATTTTTTTTTTGCAAAATAGATTGAGTGCCTGGTTGTTTTTCTGAGGTACTTCTAGGTGGACTCGAACCTTCAAACTTTTGGATAGTAGCTGTGCATGTTACATACAACTAGGAGACACGGAGGGTCTTTCTAGCTCTGAGATTTGACAGAGGAAAGTGTCCAGGGGGATCTGAGGAGGTGATAGGTGTGGAGCTTGGGTCTCTGCATTACCTAGGGAGTAACTAGAGGGGTCCCTGGGGAAGGCAGGAGGCCCTATGGAAAGAGGATTCATAAACATGAGCAGCCTGTGTTCTTCCCTGCATTCTCACTCCTTACTTGTGTCCTTACTCCAAGCATTCCTGAGTCTAGTGGGTGACAATCAAGGCAGCCCACCAAAACCCTGAAATAAAAAGGAAGGACAGAAGTACTAAGCAGAGCAAACCACTACCAACTCATGGTGACCCTACATGACAGAACAGAACACTCCCTAGGGTTTCCAAGATGGTAAATCTTTGTGGAGGCAGACTGTCTCTTCCTCCTACTGATGGGAGTGGCTGGTGGGTTTGAACCACTGATCTTTCTGTTAGCAGCGCAATGCTTAATCCACAGTGCCCCCAGGGTTCCTTTTAAGCAGGGTAGAGGACAGGAGATGGCTTGGCTCACTGAATGTTACAGCGGATGAGGTTTTATGAATCTGCTGGTTGTCTCTTCCTTTAAATGATGAGGGAATGGAGGCCCAGAGAGAATGAACTTAACTCAAGGTCAGCTGTTGTTGATTAGTGCCATCAAGTCAGTTCCTACTCATGAAAACCCTGTACTGGGTTTCTGAGGAGCAGCTGATGGATTGAACCGCCAACCTTGTGGATTGCAGTTCACTGCTTATCCTGCAGCGCCTCACCAGGAGTAGGAGATTATCTAATAATTAGTAAATTGGATACCACATATTATTGATAATAATATCAGCTAATATTTTATAGCATTCTTCTGTAAGTGGGACACTTCTGGAAATGCTGTATATGAATTGTTTAATTCACATAATCAGTGTTATGAGGTCAGTCCCATGCTCCCATTTTACAGATGAGGAAACTGAGGCCCATGGAGTTGTAAGTAACTCTCACACTCTCACGTAGCTGGAAAGAGGCAGGCCTTAGAATGTAAAATCCAGAGCTGTCTCATTTTAGAGCCAGCAGCTGTGACCCTTATAGCATAAAGAAGTCTGAGGGGCACACAAAGTTCCACTCTTGAAACAAAACTGCAATGGGAAAGTCTCTCAGTTGTGTGGTGCCTGAATGGACGGGCCAGTGTCCACCAGAAGGGACTGAGGCCACTTGCCCCCTGTGCCGCTATCCCTCCCTGCTGTTCATTCCTACCCTCTCCTTCCCCACACTGCACTCACCCCACCCCAGAGCAGGATGACAAGGGCAGGAGGCACCTGGTTCTCTGCATTCTCCAGGGTCTCTCTTTGTCCTCAGCTATGCCTCCTGATGTGGCACTGTAGGATAAGCACTGGACCCCAAGGTCAGTTTGAATCAAAAGGTCTGCTGTTCAAATCCACCAGCCAGTCCTTGGAAACGCTATACAGGGTCACCATGAGTCACAACCAACTCAACTGCACTTAACAATAACTACAACATGTCTCTTCTCAGATCCCATCCTATGTCCACAGGGAACCCAACTTTCCTTTGTTCTTGTGTTACTGAGGTTTGGTTTGTGCTTGGGATTTGCATTTGTCTATAAAAGGAGTGTAAGAGAGGAAGCACAAATGACTCTGACCAGGACAGCCACATGGAGGAATCTGCGCCCTCAGAATTTTCTGGTCCTTACTGCATGCACCCTGCCTGATGAAAGTGGTATGTGGCACATTGGACTCTGGTTCTAAACTCTGAGTTCAAAGCCCAGCTTTGTCACTTACCAGCTGTGTGTGACTCTTTCCCCAACCCTCAGGCCTGTTTCCTCATCTGTAAAATGAAGATTGTAGTCATTCCTATGTGTCGGTATTAGAGTGAGGATAACTTGAAGTTAATACCTTTAAAGGTCTAACACCAGAGCCTGGTACATTAACTGTTTGTTAGGGGCTATTGAGTGGATTTTTGACCCACAGTGACCCCGTGTGATTGAGTAGAACTACATTTCATAGGTTTTTCTGGGCTGCAATCTTTACAGAAACAGATTGCCAGTTCTTTTTCCTACAGAGCCATTGAGTGGATTTGAATGGCCAACCTATTGGTTAGCAGCCAAGTGCTTAACCATTGCACCACCAAGGTTCTTTTACTGTTAGTAAATTTGGAGACTGTCAAGAAGCAAGCCATTTTTCCTGGAATGTGACCTTACCTGAGTGCTCTTTTCCCTCTGTGTCCTGGTTTCCTCCTCTGAAAGATGGGCCCACGATGCTTCCTGGGTGTGGGTGATATGCCCCTCCTCCCCAAGGAGCTGGCTGCAGCCAGCCTATGCTCTCCTCTTGGGGCTTGGGCTGGCCCAGGTGCACCCATGGTAGGGCGGCCTCCATCTCTGCCTGGGGCAGTCTGTGTGTGCTTCCTTCCGGCTTCTCTACTTTTCTTTGAACTCCCTTGAGGTCCACACCCAAGTGCCCTCTGTCTCTTCATTTCTGGGGCTCAGGTCTAGAGGTAAAGAATATTCAGATGGTGAATACACCCAGTTCTGTCCATAGAACAGGACAAGCAGGACCCTGTTCAGTTCTACAAGCCTGGGGGACTCCCTGTGCTTTGAAATACCTTCCTCAAGAATTTGCAAGCCCCTGAAGTACCTGAGTCTCTGAGGCCCCAGCCTCTCCCCTTCCCTGTGCTCTCTGACCTTCCACCATACCTGGGCTTCTCCACGTGTCCAACGAGCTGCATAGTTCTGGGACCCTGAGGTTGGACCTCTTTTCAGGGAGGCAGCCTGAGGAGCAGACCACTTCTCTTCTTCAGTGGTGGCACACTGATTCTGGAGACTTTGAACTGCTTCTATAGATACCCTCTTCTTTCCCAAAGAAACCACCACTCTCTCAGCTGCATAGACTGGGAAGAAAACCCCACATTTCCTCGCACCCTTCTTCTTGATTGTTCCGACTCATAGCAATCCTGTATAGGGCTTCCAAGAATGGCTAGTGGGTTTGAACTGCAGGCCCTGTGATAAGCAGCTCAGTGCTGATCCTACAGTACCATACCAGAGGTCCTCCAGAATCCTTTTGTTGTTAAGTGTTGTTGAGTCGGTTCCAACTCATAACAACCCTGTATATGGTTTCCAAGTAGTGGCTGGTGAGTTTGAACCACCAACCTTGTAGTTCAAACCGGCCTTGCAGTCCAGTGCTTTATCCCACAGTGCCACACCAGGACTCCTCCAGAATCCTAGTCGTCCTTATTTCTGCTCCTCATTGCTTCCTAGAATATGTTCTCTCCTTTCCTCTCCATCATCTTCTTTACCCCTACCTCATTGCCCCAAGCCAGGCCTTCCAGCCTCATGTGCATCCCACAATACCTCAACAGCCTCTGAGTCCCCACTCTCAAGGTGGGAATGGGGCTAGGGGGAATTGGGGAGGGCAGAACCAGGACTCTCTTACCAGAGGGCTCAGAAACTGGGGTAAGAGGGCAGGTCTGGTCTGGTACAGGGGATTCAAGGGACCGATGCTCTGCCCCCAGCTCCACATGCACACATGCAGGTCCTCAAAGCCCTTCTCTCTCCGTACAGGATGCTTCAGAACAATCAGCTGGGAGGAATACCCGCAGAGGCGCTGTGGGAGCTGCCTAGCCTACAGTCTCTGTGAGTCATTAGAGGGCCCATCTTGGGAGTCGCCAGCTTCCTGGGGCCTGAGTCACAGCCCTAGCCCCCCTGCCTCAGCTTTTCCTCCTCTCCGCACGCCCCCCTCTCCGCATGTTCCAGACAGCATGCCGCTCCTGGCTTTGGTTTCCTTGGGGTTTTTTGTTGTTGTCATCAGTGTGTGTATATGTACACCCGCGTGTGTATTTCGGGGAAGAAAGGCTCCAAGCCACGCTGGAGGACTGTGGGAATGGGACCTCCCTAGGTGGGGCCACCGGGGCAGCTGTCTTGGGGCAATTGGCGTTCTGCCACTAGAGCCTGGGGTGGGGACTGCCACCCCAAAGAAGTGTCAGGAAGGGGCTGTCTTTTCCACCTAGCCTGCTCTTGTCCCCAGGGCTTGAGGGTGGGGAACAGACTAGGGTCAGACACCCATTACCCCTACTTAAGGGTGGGAACTGCGTTCCCAGGACTCAAAGGCCACCCAGGCTACTAGATCCAGCCTTTCAAAGAGTCATGCAATTTCTTTCCCGTCCAGCAGGGGCATCATGGAACTAAGACAGAGTCTGGGGGTGGAACAGGAACAGGTGCTGTATTAAGGTGTCATTGAGCTGACTGACCACCAATCCTCATCAGGGTTTATAGGCACCGGGCCTGGAGCACAGTAGGTGCCCCAACTCAATTTTCAGGTACATCTGCATCCTGAAATATGTGACAGTAGATAGACATTTTGGGAACATCAATCTATCTATGGAGTCCTGGTGTAGTACTGTGAGTTAATGCAGTGAACTGCAAGTCAGTTTGCAAGGTCAGCGATTCAAGCTCACCACCCACATCTCAGAAACTCTATAAAAGGTCACTATGGGTCGGAACCAATTTGACGACACTTGACAACAACATCTGTGTAAAGCTGGGGCATGACGTTAAGTCAGTGGGGTGTTTAGTGTGTCAGGGCACAGCTCTGGATCTCTAGACTCATGGCTCCTGCCTTGGCTGCTGACTTGCCCATGGATGTGGAAGTCGGACAACTCTAAACTGCCCTGGCTCTCCTTGGATGTAAGGAGGAAAGAAGTCTCTCCTCCTCATGACCACTCCTCAGGCCCCATTCACCATGAACAGTTGCAGGGTTCAGGCTGGCAGTAGAAGCCCTTCTCTCTCCCTAGGTTCCTGGCTAGCTAGCTGTGGGTAGGGTTTTTCTTCCTCCTCCTGCCCTCCTATTTCTCTCTGTGTCTGCAGCCCGCTGTCCCCAGATGCTTGGTAGGCCCCAGGCTTCTCCTAGCCTCCCCCTCATCCTCTCTACTTTCTGGCCTTCCTCCCAACAAGTATGAGGCCTCTGGCCCAGCCACCTCCTCTCCCTCTGTCCAGGGTCACCACTGGATAGGGTCAAGCAACCCAGCAGTGCCTCTAGAAGATCAGAGGCCAGGTGGGTTTCCTAACGGCAGACTAAACATTTGCTTAGGTGTCAGCAAAGCAGGGACAGCCAAAAATAAGCGAGAGGGGAATTTGATATTTTATTAATAGCATCAAAGAGATCATCATAGGGAAAAATTAGATATTTGCTAGGCTAATTTTCTGTTGTAAAATATATTATAGAACATTCATAAATTTTAAAAAAATTTGTATATATTATTCAGTGACATTGATTACATGTAATCTGTACAACCATTATTACCATCTTTTTCCTTTGCTGGACTTCTTGATATTTATTTACTTATTTTTAACACATTTGGAATCATATTTTATTTTCAAAATAACTCAGTTACTTAGGCAGGTAAGATATTTTTTCCTCATTTTACAGACAGGGAAACTGTGGTTCAGAGTTGTTATTAGTTGCCGGTTGTATCAAGTTGGCCCCGACTGAGAGCAGTTCATTGCAAAGCCCCCAGAGATAGTCAAGAAGTTAATAAACCTGTGGAGGGACATTTAGTATTGTGAAAATGAGTATGCTTAAAAGGCCACAGAATTGGAACCTAGAGTCAGCCAAGAAAATATTTCATTTGTTTTGAAAATGACTTGTAAAGACTTGATTTCTCAGCTTGACATTTATTTTGAGATTAAGTTTTTGTTGTAAATTGTGAAATACATCTCTGGGATATTTAGAGTTTCCAAAGGTCTTATCTTTCAGACTAGACATGGAGCTAATGGGATAAGTACTGGTAGTTTTTCTACCCTTTCTAGGAAATGGGCAGCCTTTGGAGCTGGGTGGTGGTGGTGGTTGTGTGCCGTTGAGTCGGCTCCAACTCATAGCGACCCTGTACAGGGTTTCTGAGGCTGTAAATCTTCATGGGAGCAGAAAGCCTCAACTTTCTGCCGTGGAACAGCTGGTATTTCGAACTGCTGTCCCAGAGGTTATTGTAGCTGGGAGAGAACTAGACAATTAACTTTTACCCCTAGCTCCATTGCTCCCTGTTGCCTGGGTGGGTCAGGGGCAGGGGACAGAAGCCCACTCCCAATTCACATAGTTAAAATGCAGATGATTCAGTTTTGCCTTTTACAACTCTTTGAGCCCAGCACTGACCCATGAAGCAGAAAGCTTGTTTCAAGTCCTGCCTCTGACCCTGATTGGCCTCAGTTTCTCCTTCAAGCTGGGATTATTATATGAGAGGGCTTTAAAAGGTTGGTGAAAAAATTGAATGAAAAAATAACAGAATTTTTACTTGAACTTTTTGAAGCCCCTCATTGACATTTCCTGCCTACCTCATAGAGTTGTCATGAAGATCGCATATCATAAATGGGAGAGGGATTTGGAAAAGAGAAGCCTCCAGTGTGAATGCGATGGGACTACTGTACTATTGTTCATTTAACGTGTCATCGATCCATTCTTTTTACAAATATGGTTGTTGCTTTGTTGAGTGCGCTTGAGTCAGCTTCAACTCAGAGTGACCTTGTATAGGGTTTCCAAGAGCAGTTGGTGGATTTGAACTACCAACCTTGTGGTTAGTATTCCAGTACTTATGCTACAGCAACACACAGTGGTCCATTACAGATGCTGTTGTTGTTGTTAAGTGCTGTTTAGTCATTTCTGCACACTACAAATACTGTTGTTGTTAAGTGCCTTTGAGTCATTTCTGATTTATAATGACTCTGTATAGGGTTCCAGAGGAATGGCTTTTTTGAACCACCAACCTTGCAGTTCATAACGACCTTTCAGTTCTATGCTTTATCTCAAACCACCACACCAGGACTCCATCCTGAAGGCTCTATATGGTAGGTGTTACACCCTGGGATTTTGAAATTTGGAAGATTCAATGAGGTACCACCTCGGGTCTCAAAGTGAGGCTGCCCCTACCTACTTCAGGTTTCTCCTTCTTGGATCTGCCACCGCCACCAGTTATCATTGAGTTGGTTCTGACTCCTGACCATTCCTACTGTGTCAGAGTGGAACTGTGCTCCATAGGATTGTCAATGGCTGATTTTGTAGAACTAGGTTGTCAGGCTTTCTACCTCAACGTAGACTCAAACCATCAACATTTTGATTTTCAGACGAATGTATCAACCATTTGTACCACCTAGGTAAAACCAGGTCCAACTGACTGACAAGAGAGAATGGGAACAAATGACAATTTTGTTTGAGTGCCCTTGTGGCAGCACTATAGAAGATGTTCTATGTACATTATCTTATTTCATTCAAAAATTTCACTCATCTAATTTCATTCATTATCTTATTTATAAAAGCTTTCCTAATGATTACTGTTTCCACTGCCAGATGAGGAAATGGAGACATGAACAATTCAAGGCTCTCTAAGGTCAGAGCTGGTGAGTGGGGAAGGCAAGGCTAGACTAAGTGGTGTTGGTTTCCAAAGGCTGAAAGTTTAAGTCTTTCATCAAAGCTACAAGGGAAGCTCCTTGTTGGTGGTCATCTTTGGGTGACCCTCCCTTCTTCCCCAGGACAACTAGTCAACAGAAATATCCTTCTTCCTGTTGGAAGGCAAAGAATCAAGAGGTATTTTGGGGACACACCTTCTGCCCCTGCCAGTGTATGTCATCCCCAGAGTAGACCAGGCCCCCCTAGGGGCTTAAACCCTTGGAGAAGGCTGTTGTTCATCTCCAAAAAGCTCTTGTGGACTTTCTTGGGCCCTCAGGAAAGGTTTAATATTGCTGTCTACTTTCTACCATCTAGAAAATGTAGGGGGTGAGTTTTTGGTGAGTCAGGAGTAGGATTAGGGGATGGGGCCAGCCTAACTGGCACGCCAGCCCCAGGTACCCAGTTGGACATGGCACACAAGCTGTTTGATCTGGCATCTGGTTGGCGGCACCAGCTCCACACACCTCCCCTCCCTGGATACACTTGCTCTCCCCTCAACAATGTGGGAGGGGGAGGGTGGCAATGCCAGACGTGTCCCGCCAGGCCCGGGCCAAAGCCAAGAGTAACCACTGGAAGCCAGCAGAGCCTGGGGGTGAATAGAAATTGGGTGGGGGTGAGGCAAGCAAGGGGGAGTACATGGAAAAGCAGAAAAACTGCTCTGGAAGAGCTGGGGACTGAGGCAGAATAGTGCACTGGAGCTCAGGCTAGCTGGTCCCAGGAGAAGCATTGGGAAAAAACAGTGACAGAAATAAAGGGGAGAAAACAGGACAACAACCCATTCTTGGATACCCTGAGGGGAAAATGCAAAAATGCAAAGGACAGCCACATGAAACTGGCCAACACTGTGTGGAGCTGGAGAAATTAACCATGAGCAGTGCCAGATTCCAAACAGAAACCCAAGTTAGAATCACCACAACCCTCTCAGCCCAAGCCAACCGTCTAAAACATTGTTCCCTGCTGCTGAGGGGAGCAAGGTGGGGAAGTCACGTGAAGGGTGTGTGCCTGTGTACTGAGCTGGGGTGATGTGGGAAGGACCCTATAGGAGCCATGACTCCCACTTATCAATCACACATCAATACACTAAGTGCTTTCATATATTTTGTTTAATCCTGAAAGCCCTCTAAGGCAACTTCCCATTTTATAGATGTGGCAACTAAAGCCCAGAGAAGTTAAACCACTTTCCTGAGGTCACATAGCCAGG